AATAAAGGGCTGAAAAACTTCTCCCATTGTCTGAGGCAATGTATGTACCATTTGCATATTACTTTCATCCATTTGCTGTCTCAAACAATTTATGGAGGTATTTGTAAGACTGGGTGCTTGAACAGAGTAACCAACACCTATGCTTTAGTTGTTTCGACCACCTGATCCAGATCCTTACACTGGCGAAGATACTACATTTTCTGAAAATATGGGTGGAACACTCTGCAGATTTTGCATCATTGACGTAGGCATACCATAAGGTGGATTCCTTGACAATGGTTGTGAGAAACCTGGAGGAGGAAAATGCCTATACATTGAACTTCCTCCTAGGGGTGTTGGGGGGTTAGGACTTTGTGGTCCTATATATTCCAACACAGGTTAAGTGTACGTTCTTACACATGTTGACCCTAGACGTGCCATTGACTGTATTGGTTCAGACACAATTGCTGGTGGTGACGTTTTTCCTCCCGTCGAAGAAACTGGAGATGGTGTACTTTGAGACCCCATTCTACTTGACTGAGTGTTTGAAATACTTCCTTGAGGATCAACTTGTTGACTAGCATTGGTTTCCATTCTCTTAGTATATCTTCCCTTTGGTACTCCTTCGTTTACTGTAGCTAACTTCCCACTTCTCAATAACATACAACTAAGTGTTTCTAAAAAAATATGGATATGATTAACATAAAATTTGGAATACTTAGCACTGGGTCCCACCAAGTGTGCCAATTTGTTTATTGTGAAATTTGGTAGACAACCTCTGGTCTATCAACTTTGGGTGAAATTGAGTAACTTGCAAGATCGACCATACAAATCCTAGGACATGTGCTAAGTTTAAAAGAAAATCTAAATTGAACTCCACGTTCGACTATGTTCTAAAGGAACTCCACGTTCGACTATAAACACTTTGTAAAGTAAAAAACAACTTGGAAAGTGACAAGACTGTAAAATAAATAGTGCAATGATTAAAGCGTCAAAAGTAAAAGGCAAGATGTAAAAAGCTTTGAAAATAAAGGCAATGATGTAAAGGCTTGAATTTGATAAAAGTGCAAGAAAGTAAGATGTCGAAAGTAAAGGCAATAATGTAAAAGTTTTGAACTTGATAAAAGTGCAAGAAAATAAGTGTGAGGACGAATATTTAGAAAAATGTAAGAAAGTAAAAATCGAAAGCAATTAAAAAGACTTTTAAATAGCAAGTTAAAATAAAGTGCAGAAGAAAATCAACTGAAAGTAAAGATTAAAAATAAAGTTTCAAGGAAGAACATGTAAGTACGAAAGATAAAGTTCAGGAAAAGACATTTAAACATGAAAGATAAAGTTTAATGAAGAACATGCAAGATGAAGTGCAGAATAAACAATCACATGCAAATGATAAAGATACATAAATTGCATTGATGAAAAGACATGGTGTCACATCACGTACATTCTCTCGAACTCGTTTCTCTACACGCGGGTACTTTGAGTAATTTGGAGTAACTTGTACAAGAAAAGTGAACACCCTTATTCTATGGAAGTAACCCCTATTTATAATGCTAGAAAATAACTACTAAGTGACGGTTGTTGCTTCAAAAGTGTCTTTTGGCCCTTTTTTGTGACTTCAACCGTTCCCACATTCGCCAACTGCCTTTTGAAATTCAAATATTGGGAATTTCCCCCCATCCTGAGTGGTAACTGCATTGCGCTTCTTTCAGGATTCTCATGGTCGAAGGACTTTCCAACACTTTGCAATTTTTCCAGAAGTTTTCACAACCTTTCTTCGACTCAGGCTTCACTAAAAACTGGGTCGAAGCCTTCTTATGCTTAAACATAATTTTTTGAATTTTAAATGACTCTAGGTTTTGCTGGCGTTGAAAATGAGAGCCAACACGACTGTGTTCGGTAGTGTAGAGAACTAGTCGGGGTGACCGGGGGTGTTACCTGGTTGGTTATGGAGGGGGATCGCGGTCTTCCCTTCGCATCGTGAACATCCCATCGCAATCTGGGTGTTCTGCCATCTTGGTACGGTGGCGGCGGCTCTCGGTTGAGGGGTCACCGTCGAACATAACACTCTGCTCGCACACGCGATAGGGCAGACGTTTGTTTTGGTTGAGTTATTTGGATAATTGATGTTAGATTTTGCTCAAGCATGTTGTGTGTTGCTACGTCCTCAGCTGAAAAAACTATAAAGGTTTGGGGTGTTAATAACGTAAGTCTAAATTTTCATGATTCAACTTCAATTTGTAAGTAATTATTAACCTTTTTGGATTTAAATAAAGATATTGCGAAAATAATTATGCTTTTACTTTTAAGATATAAATTTTTGCCATGAAAACTGTAAGTCTGTAACCCTGTCTAATCTCACTCCTTAGATGTCATATTGCATTAATCACATTTACACCCTCTTTTGTTAATTACCTTTTGTTTCTCTTATAACACTCTCTTCCTGTCTGCTATTGAAATATCACTATATCAGCAAAGGACTATAGTCTATTCTTATCAATAATAAACAAATACGAAAAATGTATTTGATTAATGAGCTTTTGTGTTTGATTATAAATGATTGGTAGTAGAGGATAAATGTCAAAGATAGAGGGGTTTGACAGTGTTTTCTGTTGCTAGATTTAGCCAATAAATCAACTTGTAGTTGGTTCTTACATTTTCCTTCTGTGCATGCTGTTTGCTTAGCAACAGTTATGCAGTTAAGTGGCAAAGTTGATTCTGCTGATATTAATTTTGAAAGTAGACTAGCCTTAAAAGACATCCGCGATCAGCTTCAGATTTAATTCCTATGATTTGTCATTCCATTAGTCTTAGGGGCTAGGGTGCATCACACTTTATTTTCTTACAAGTTAAGATATTCTTTTTATTATGAGTTTGTATTTTTTTATCATATTAATGGAATTTTCATTTGCCTTTGCAGCCTAGTTATTCTATTCAGACATTTACAGGGCATACAAGAACTGTGATGTCAACTAGACTTTTAGCCAAACAAAAATGACCTTATTTGCTCTTGTGATAAAAGGGAGATAAGATATTGGAGTATTGAAAATGGTTGTTGTGTTGGGATTTTCAAGGTAGGAAATCTCAAACAGATACTATGAAGCAAATTCCAACGTACTTGTATATTGTTTGTAAATAAATTAAAATTTTCCATTACTTTATCAGGACGTCGCAACTTAGGTGAGGTTTCAACCTAGTTTGTGAAAGCTTCTTGCAGCAGTAGTAAATAATCTAATACTGACGCAAAAAGTCCGAGTTGCAGAATTAAATTGCAGGTAGGCTTTGAATTTAGTGTTTGCGTATGTTTGTTTGTGAATATGCTTAAGTTTGAATTGACCTCAAACAACGCTGTAGTTTTCTTATTGATAACAATAGACTAACAACATTTGATTATTTTGTCATTCCCAAAAAAAATAAGTTTATGTCAGTTGTTTTTTTGTCTTAGCTCTAAACTACATCGAAGTGTTATCCATCAATGCCATCTTTCTCTATATCTTCCTATCTTTTTCATCCTCTGCAATTGAGCTCTAAACGATTCAAATGGAAATCATGAAAACGATTTAATTCAAACTTCCTCAAAACTTAACCAATTTTCACAAAATTAAAGTGAAACATGCTTGTTTTTTAAAGAGGATCATGATGGTGTCAATCAAATTTTCAAATAGTGCACACAAACAAAAAATTGGATGCTCATGCAATAATGAAGTTTGAAATGCATTTGAAGATCCATGTCCAAAACTGATGAGAACAGGTTATGTTTCAAACATACACAGGTCTTAAATGTGCAACTCATGATTGTGTTTAATGAGATGACCTCAAATTCTTATTGAACCATGAAGTGACTACCAAGTTGCAACTTGGTGAAAGGGTGTTTAAGATAGACTTTATCTATAACCAATATGTTCAGCAATGATCCAACACCATGTAACAAGTTATGAACTTCAAAAACACACAAAATGTAATAGCCTTAGGATGGAACTAGAAGGTATCAAAGCCTAACCAATTCAAAACAGAAACCAAGCAGCAGAATTTGATGTTGCAACACACAACAACCAACAACCATCCAATGCCCTGCCTTTGCGACAACAACTACTGTGAACTAGCAACCAACACAATTTAGCTCTAAATCCTGGCAGCAACTAGCATGATAATGTTAATCCTAAATGCACCATGTATTACAACATCCCATATCAACATTTCACAAAAGCACACAAAACCTATACATATATGCCCCAACTGTCATGAGTTGAACAAACTCACACCTCAAAACCAATTGACAACACAACTGTAACTTTGAATATTAAAATGTCCAGTTCACTCAAACTAAACAACACCTACATGATGAGGCAGCTGCCATTTCACTAACAGGCTTTTAGTATGAAAAAAAAGGCTTTGGCAACAATGACCATAAGCTTGACAAAACAGCTGGCAATATGAACATGTTATACATTGGTAGGCTTGACATAAGTCAAAGTTCAAACAGCATTCTACAACCAACATGCTAAACCACACACATAAGTTACTGACAAAAGACAAGGTTTGTTCATATCAAAATGCAAAAACTCATGATGAGTTTTGATGGAACAACTCAGTTTTTCACTAGAACAACTTAATTAAGCGCTTCGTAGGAACATTGTCATTGTTATGATGCTAGTGAAAATCAACTGAAAAAATGAAATCAAACATGACTCAAGTTGAAGTAGCACAAATGGACAATGAACAATTTAATTAAGCACTTATTACAAAACTACTTATCTAATAAGTGCTTATGTATAACTATTCTATAACAAAATATAAAACAAAACCATACTATATTTTTATAAGATATAAGTTGTTTTCGTATGTGATTCTCTTCTAGATAATCTCACAAGTATTTGTGTCAACAGGTAAGTTCAAATGGCCAGTGTTTACCTACCACATCTTGAAAATATAGACAAAAGAATTCCTTTTCATAAGTAAAAGTTCTCTGGATACAGTAGGGTGGCCTTTGGAGATATCAAATGGAGTAGCAAGTTCATTTCATATTAGTATTTCACAGATAAAGAGATTTCCCAAGCAAAGGAACCACTTTCTTGAGCAGCAATTCCACGTTCAAAACTCTGAACTGCAAAATTATCCTATGCGAAAAACACAGATATCAGCAATAATATATAGAATGATTGTGCCAAAACCTATCTGAACAGAAATCAATAACAAAATACTTGGTCTTCTATAGTTATTGAATGGTTATCTGCACAGAGTTCAACGCACACTCCCATACCAACATCCTTATAGACATCCCACAAACCATCCTTCAACATCCCATCAACTAGTGAGTTGTGTCCAAGGCGAGATCCTTTTCTGAAATGTTAGCATTTAATCAATTTATTTCAACAAAATAACTAATCTTAAGAAAACTATCAAGTACGCGTCAATATCAAATTTGACCTTGCTTCTGCCAAGTACTTAGGTACATTAGACATGTTTTCCATACCACCAGCTACAACAACATCATTTATGCCCAGTTGAATACTCTGTGCAACAAGCATTGTAGCTGCAGTTAACTAAGAAAGGTTTATTAACCTTGTTCATTCATTGAAATAATAAAAACTAAAAGATACCAAGAAAATAATCCTTGTTTATAGTACATTACACACCTTTCATTCCTAATGCACAAACTTTGTTAACAGTAGTGCAGACTACATATTTGGATAGTCCAGCTCCAAGAGCACAAGGAAGTATTTTTTAGCATATGTTGGATATAAGTTTCACTCGCCGCCACCACAAGTTTGGATCCATTTCACCGTCGAAATGGAGAAGCTACAACTCTAGCTTCTAACAAAACACATGCCTATAGAGTGTGTTTGGGAGAGATAAAAATCACATTGCTAATGCACAGACGGTTGGAAACTAAATATTTGAGAGTTGATTCAACGCGTGTTGAGCGTCCTTGTAACATGATACTGAACACGCTATTATTAGAAATGCAATCAAGGTTTTAAATAACGGTAGTAGTTGCGTAAAGGCTTCACAATTTTGGTCGGTATAGGTGTTGCGACAGTAATTGCAGACGTCACAGTGTGAATTAACCATAATTCGTTCATTATCAAAAAAACTATGAAAACGGTATAGTATCTGCAACTTTCAATACCGTTTGTCGAAGCCGTCTTCTCGGTAACAAACTGTTTTTTAACACCTTGAGTATTATATTACTAATTAGACCTCTTTGCCTATATCTTTTTCGTTTCCTTTTTTTGCAATCTTACAATTGAAGTGAACCAAAACAGAACAAAACAAAACAAAAAATGCAGCTAATAAATTCAACAGAGTAAACCATTTATAGCAACCACTATTTAAATCCCTAACACTGAATCAAATTTGTAGTAACAAAAAAAGGGAATGAATAAGGGTATCTTTCCATAATTCTTTATGAAACCATGAGCATTAACTAAATTCATCAAATATGAAAAAGAGTACTGAGTTTAATATGAAAACGAGCACTTTTTGAAAAGGGACAAAACTTGAAAAGTCCAAATTTAATAGGGACCAATTCTCTAATGCTAACACACAAAATTGAATGTGTATGTCAGGATAAAGGTTGATATCAGTAGTCCAACCATTTCTAATTACAATTTATGATTGCTAATAATCAAACCAACCCTTGGAAAGAAAGACTTCAAAAACCTGTTAGAAACTAATTGAGAGCTATCATAGGATACAACTAATTAAACATATAACTAAATCATCCTGGTATATGTAACCTGAAAAGGTTGTATAAACATCTTCAAGATGATCTCACCAAGCATAACTACTTGAAAGGTCATGAACAAAATATTCTTTCAAATAAAATTCTAATAAGCATAAGCTTAAATAGTACACATTCACACAACTTTGTGATTCTAACTAAAACTGATATCCATAATCACGACAGTCTAACTTTCAAGTACCTGATTATCACATAAAAAGCATAATCTAACTATGGTCACATAGGCTGATGGCTGATGGGAAGCTCTGGATGTTGTTGTTCGGAAAGCTCGAGATTAATATTGTTCTATCTTCAGTCAAGATCGTTATGCAACTGCAAGAACCATATATAATTATAACCATATAATTATAATAATGATACCATTAAATAACAACATTAAAGAAATTGCTTACAGAGTCATCACTGAATTCAATGTTGTGAAAATCTTCGTGTGACGAATGTGTCATGTTAGCATGATGTCGAGGTATTGAACATGTTTGCTTATTATGCCCGAATTTTCTGTAAGTAGAACATTGAGTCCACTTCCTTTTTTTCTGACTTGTTGAAGATTCCCCAACACATCCTTTAGTTCTAGTTAGAGCAGGATCCTTCAATGTCTCATGGAAAGTTTCACTTGAATTTGTGGCTCCACTATCATATAAGCCCATTTTTTATTCCATCTTTCGGATATCAGCAACAACTTGTTTCATATGGTTATTGAAATCATCACCATTCTCACTTACTAATTATCTCAAACGTATATATCGAAACATGAGTGCATAATATCTTGACGACTTGTATGAATCCCAGTATTTTGGAAGATGCTTATTTGTGCTACATATTTCTTCCTTCGCGTTCTTTGTCCATCGATCAGCCACTAGAGTTTTTGGCAATTTTGCGACATCTAAAAAAATCAATAGTGCAATAATATGCTCACACGGGAGGCCAAATGATTCCATCTTCTTGAAAGAACATTTAAACACGTCATCATTATGATAGAATGATACGTTCCACTCCCTTTTTGATGCTTGATACTTGCAAATTGTGTATATAAAGCATGTATAGGTTTGATTGCATGTTGCCACTACCATCTCTGCGGACCGTGCAAGAATATCACGAAACATGAAGAATATTTCCCTTGTAAATAACTTCCCAGCGTAACGCTCCATGCTCTGAAATCTTGTTTGTAGCACAGGATCACCGTAATTTGATGCAAAGTCAGCTTCGACCTCCTTATAGCACATGTAATTAAGGCACCGATGAAAATGTAATAAAGATTCAGTTAAATTATACCGTGAGTGAAGAAACTTCCCCATTTCTGAATGTAACCCCTCACACCGGGAGGTAGTTCTAAACCCAGCAAAAAACTTTCCGCGTATATGAGCTGTAGCCCACATCTTTCTCTTTGCATATAGTTCAGTTACCCACTTGTTGTCATGCAACCCAAATGTGTCAATCATTTCATCCCACTTGCGCTGAAACTCACATAAGTCATAGTCACCCAACATGCATTTCCTAAACTGACTAATAAATTCAGGAACTCCAATGTTAGACATTGCATTGCGAATTAGATGCTAAGCACACAACCTATGATAAGCATTTAGAAACACCCTTTTTATTTCTTTCTTCATTGCAAGATCGGCATCAGTAATGACAGATATAGGCGACTTACCTGACATTGCTTCTAAAATTTGTTCAAGAACCCACACATATGTTTCTTCTTTTTCATTTGCAACAATAGCACCACCAAATATAATATTATGATTATGGTTATTAACTCCAGAAAATATCACTAAGGGGCAATGGTATTTGTTCGTCCCGTATGTTGCATCAAATGCCAACACATCACCAAAAACTTTGAAATCCATTTGGCTTATACCATTGCACCAAAAAAGATGTTCAATCCTACCTTCTCCATCAACAGTGTGGCGGTAAAACATCATCGGGTCATCTGATGCCAGCCCACGAAGATAGTGTAAAACATTTTTACCATCACATCATTGCAAAAGGCATTGCTTTCCTATTTGATTATATATATCCTTCCTACGAAACCCTATTTTTTCATACCCTCCTGATTGGTTGGCAAAAGAACCATAGAATTGAGACGACCTTATACCAACCTTCAACATGTCGTTCATCTGCATTATATCTAACTCTTTCATTTTTTGATGTGAAGCAAGCATTCTATGGTACTCTTCATCTAAAAGCTCATGATTGTGTTGATAATTAAAAACTGTTATCCACCAACATTGTGAGACCATGTCTATATGCACTCGAAATTTTGCTTCACATCCACACCGAATCTCAGATTTACACTCACGCTTACGATTTTCTATTGTTAAACCTCTGTCCTCCCTAAACCCCTGTCTGTGACTAACAAATGTCCGCTGTAATATTTCTCCTTTCTTGCTTTGAAGGATCTTACTCTTGCGAACTGCAGACCCGTTCACTTTAGCATACTGGTTGTAAAATCCATAAGCCATGTCTAGACTTGGAAACTGAATTTTCCTTGTCTCATGGGGACTTAATCTTTTCAGGTCCATGCCAAGAATATCCTTCATGCTATCAATATTTATATTTTTTTCAATAGATTCTTCATCCTCAGCACGAATGTCATCAACAACAGCGGTCTCGCATGTTGCTTCATCAACTACTCCAGTTGACAAGTCTTCTAGTCCCTATCATAATAAACAACATAGTTTTAACATAACTGTCAAAGTACAATAATACTAGTATTTAAAAATTTCGCCTTTTACCTCCATACTGCCTACAACTATTCGACTAATGGTATCACTGCTCTTTCTCTATTTCCTGCACGGATTATGTAACCAATTACGAAATTAATATATTTTAGACTACATATAACAAACTCATATAATCTAATTGAAAAAAATAATTTTTAACTCATATAATTTAATTGAAAAAATAATTTTTAATGAAATCATTTACAGTTACAGGAATCAACAATCTCTAACATCTCCAACATGCATAAAATAATAGGAAAGGAAGAGAATCATAACATCTCCAACGTCTGGTTGTTACTACAGTGAAATATGCAAGGACGGTTCTTTTTATATTCTTATAATAAGAATCAATTCTTTAAAAAAAAAACTCTACATTTAACAACACATGTGTATAACTTGAATAAGAATCAATTCTTAATAACATTCAAAAATCCAAACCACCAACAAGTTAAAACTTAGAATTTTACAAATTTAAATGAAAACAAAAATCAGATTAAAAGTGGTAATCAATAAACAAGTAGAAAAAACAGTGTGTACTACTTAGCAGCTAGCAGTGACCAGTGAGAAACGAAAAATGTGCGGAGAGGATTTGTTTCCTAATCTCTCGTTAAATTTTCAATCTCAAAGTGAGAGATTCTGATATTGCAAATTGCAAAATATTATAACAATACCAGTGAAATTCAACACAATCAAAATAAAAAATATAAAAATATTATTATTATTACAATCCACGGATACAACAAAACACATTCAATTCATATGAATCTGAACCGAAAAGAGAGCCAACGATCAAAATTAAAAGAGAATAATAATAATTATTATAGAACTAGAAACTTTACCGGAAAATTTTCTTGGTTTTGATTGGAATGAATCTCCGCCTTAGAATCCGCTCTGATGACCTCGCCGACCAACCATCTGGTTGAAACCTTGTTTTTGGTAGAAAACTTTCAATAGAGAGAAAATTATAAAACCTTGTTTCTCTGTTGTGTTGTAGGTTATAACTTTTGGGACAAAGAGTTTTTTTAATTACTATGAAAAATAATGAAGATGATGAAGTTGTAAACAAATTGTTAGGATTCTTACGAAAAGTAAGAATATTGTAATATTTGTGTAAAAGAAATTATCTGTATTGATTTTACATGTTCTCATTTTAATTATATTAAATCTAAATCATT